GAAATATTTAAGCTTTTTTTGACAAATGTGTTTAAGTCTTTGTTTTTTTTTTTTCTTTATTGTTTTAATTCAGAAAAAATAATTCACCAAGTGAAATTTTTATCCTCAGAAAACCTCTCTTTTGCTGTAGGTTAATTTATATAAAAATGGTTAAGAAATGAGGTATGTGAGAATCTTATATTCCTTAGGATTTTTAAATAACTAAAATATCTTATTTGAAAAATACAAGCTTGGGAAATGACAGCATTGTGATACTGAACCATCATAGTTTCAATATCTTTCCAAAATTTCCATTACCCAAAAAATAGGTTGTTTTTTCTCCACATTTTCTTCATTGTTAGTTTAACCTCCTGATTTCTCAGTGTATAAATAAGTGGGTTTAAAACTGGGGTAATTGCACTATATATGAGAGTTACTATCATATCCTGCTTTGATGAATTACTCACAGTTGGAATCATATAATTAAACAATACAGGAACATAAAGTAAAGCCACCACAGTTAGGTGCGATCCACAGGTAGAGAAGGCTTTTTGCCAACCACTTCGGGTCTTAACCTTTACAAGAAGAAAAGTAATAATATAGAGGTAGGAGAGTAGTATGAAAATAAAAGGACCCATAACAATACAAGTGGTCACAATACTGAGGAGCATAAGATTGAGGTATGTGCTACCACAGGCCAGTTTCAACAAAGGCTTGATGTCACAGAAAAAGTGTTCAATGTGATTTGATCCACAAAAGTGGAGGCGAGCAGTCACCATTGCATGCATCAAAGCATGGAAAAATCCAGTGCACCAGGCAGCTGTTGCCATTAGGAGACAAACCTCTTTTCTCATGATGATCATGTACCGCAGAGGATTGCATATTGCAACATAGCGGTCATAAGCCATGATTCCAAGGAGAATGACTTCGCTACTTCCCAAGAAATGAAAAAAGTGAAGCTGGACCATGCAGCCCTTGAAGGATATTGTATGCAGATTTGAAAGGAATCCAGCTAGCATGTTTGGTACAGTGACTGTTGAAAAGAAAATATCAAGGCAGGAAAGGTTTCCAAGGAAAAAATACATGGGAGTGTGAAGGTGTGGTACAGATAAAAGTATAACAATAATAGCACCATTCCATACTAATGTAGCCAGATACAAAAGCAGAAAGATTGTAAATAGAAAATACTGAAAATTGGAGTAACTGTTCAAACCCATTAAGATGTATTTGTCTAATTCTGTATGGTTTTCCATAACTAAAAAAGAAAGAAAAAGCAAAACACAAGATATTAACTATAGATAAATATAGATAAAAATCTCACCTATTTTAACCCACTTCTGAGCATGACAATGACAGAATGATAGGATACAGATATACAGATAAAGACAAACACAATTTTGCTGATGGTGCCACAATGACAGATATACAATAGTAAAAATGATGGAGTCATCCTAAACATGCATTTCAAAAGTATGTATTTGCCTCTGCCATTGTGCAGAAAGAGAATGATTTTGGTGACCATGGAAGGAGAAAAATGCCCTCCTCAACACAATACCTTTAATTTATACCAATTGTTTCTGGGTCAACACTCCTGGTTTTTGTTATCTTTAGATCACAATCTCTTAGGTTTCCAGATTCTGAAATTATTTATTAATTAAGATTTGTCTTTAGTGGTCATCAGTGGTTTTTTGCTTTCTTTTTTGTTCAGTCATCATTTTTTTTATCCTAGCAAGATGCTATTCCATTGATAAAAATAAATCAGTGAGAAACATGAGCAGACATTGAAAACAAAACCAGACCACATTCTTAAAGAACCAAACAAAATCATGGAAATATTGAGAATTTATTTAGACATCATGAAAGACTAGATATTAATTACAACATGCAAGAGATTTTGAACCTGTCGTACAGGATTATGCCATAGAATTTTGTTGGCATGCAATGAAAGCTACCAGCTGTTAATCCTATTTCCATGCTTCTTTTTCCCAGAGTCCTCCTGAGTTATTTTAAAGATCCCCTTTTAATATGTAATACCTGACACCATCCTTCTCCTACAATAATGGTTTCATATCACAACTAACTAATGTGTGAAACTAACGCACATACCTTCGGTCCCTTGCCAATTGAGGCATGCATGGTTTTGCTTTTTGTTTTGTCTGAATGAATGCATATCTAAAAAAGTAGCAAACTACTAATGCTGAGAGTAGACTCACTGCAGGTATACTGCATTATTTGCTTTACAACATAGTTTTTTATATTGTGAGGAAAATAGGAGGCAGAACAAATATTAGGTATGTTTTCTGCCTTGAATTATTTATAAAAATGCTATAAAGGTAGGAAACCCATCCATCCATCCATCCATCAATCAATAAAATGCTTTTTCTGCAATATTGCATTTTTTTAAACCAACAATAGAAACTGGTGAATAAAATTTTTGCAGAACCTTTCAAAATATTTCTTTCCTGGCAATGACTTTGTTGATGCAGGAAGTTGAGAAGTTGAGAAGGCTATCAAAAAATTTTCAAAAATTATTCAAAAATCCTGTGTTGTCAAAACAATAATTATATCATACAGCTACTACCATGCCATCTGGATTAATATAAGTTAGTTCTTCACATATCAGGACAACTATTTGCTTATCTTCTTTTGTTATTCTTGTTCTGTTGTTTAGGCATATTTATCATATATTTGCCTGCCTCAAGAAATAGGTTCCTGTATTTTATTTTGAAGGGGAAAAGAATTTGTCAAACATTTGTCCTGAGTAACATTTTGAGTCTGTTAAATATCTAGATAATACATACCTTAATGAAACATCTTTGCCACTAAGTAAGAGGAAATTATAACTGAAGTCAAATTTGCCCAAGAGCCAAAGAAAACAACAAGGTGTAATTAGAAGGGATGAAAATAATCAACCTTCCTTATGGAAAATATCGTGAATGATTTTCACTTTTATAAAATATGTTTGCCTTATAAAACTTCATTTCTTGCCATTAGGGAAAAAACCACCCAATAAACCAATCATACTTGTTTGGTTGTGAGGGAATACATTTGCTGAATTTAATTATACATATAATTTGTGTAGCCAATTATTCAACAATAATTTCATGTATTATTAAATGAATGTCTTTTTATTTTCAGCAAAAATATACAGGAAATATACAAGTATAAGCCAATGATGCTTGAAAGTATTATTTGATATAGTAATAAGGACTAGGGATACATGAAATAATATGTGTATAAGTCAAGGCAAGAACCACAGACATCAAATTCAGACAATGACTTAGAGGAGTCAGTGTGGTTCTAGCCAAGAGTTCAAAATACAAGAATTCCCTTTGCTAATTCTATATTATAACAAATTCTATATTATAACATTCCAAAGAGGTTTTTCAGTTATATCTGCCTTTTGACAGAACATGGAATATTCTTGCAAATATCACCTTAAGAACAAAAAATGTCATAGGTTGATATATGAAAGCCACCAACCCAAAATAGGAAGGGATGAGAATATGACATCAGCCTCCTTCTCTCCCTCAACAGTTGTTGTCTGAAGTGGGTAAGATTATATATACATCAGTATGGGATTATATTGTATTGTATTGTATTATGCTGAGTCGCTTCAGAGTGAGATGGGTGGCAAACAAACAAACTCAAGACTTATAATTTACATGGTGGCATTTTTGTACCATGGCTTACTAAGTGCATTATTTCCTTATTTTACTTCCTTGAAAGATTTCACCAATAAAGTTCTTTTTTATCCCTCTAATCAAGTCTTTCTCTCTCCCTTTCCCTCCCCCCTTTCCCTCTCTCTCTCTCTCTCTCCTTCTCTCTGTGTAAGAACTATCGATTCCGTATGTAGAAACAAGTAGAAACCAAGCTTCATAAAGTCCCAAAGTAAGCTTCTGCCCTGAATTATGCTGTCTGCTATTTTGCTACCTAGGGAATGTTCTGATCCTCAGTGATCAACAGAAAGTAAGTGTGAAAAAGTACATTATTAAAAAAACCCCAGACAAATGAATTAAAATGATCTAAAATATAGCTTTAAAATATCAGTCAACTGTTCCCTGTCTTCAAGTGAAGACATTATCAGACATGCCCCATGAAGCTATATTTCATGAAGCAATTTGGAGAACTCCTAGATTGTATGGGGTTCCATTCCTCTAGCTCCCAAATAGCAATGGTTGTATATAAATACATATGTAGAGCAGAGGTGGGTTGCAAATCCCAGCACTACCGGTTTGGTTGTGCTCGCACACAACACTTCTGCACATTCACCAAAGCATCTGGGTGAGTGGCAGAGCCTCCCACCACTTCCATAATTTGTGCCAATTTGTGCTGAACCAGGAACAACCTACCTCCGATGTAGAGACACTTGTCATCTAATTTCTGAAATTCCAAAATTTAGTTCTTCTAAAAAAACCTTAAAATGTACATACGTAGCCCCCCCTTTTTTATTCCACTTTGTTCATCATAAAGAATGGGGTTTAACTAAGGGATACTTTTTAAAATTATCCTGAGGATCTTCATTTTCTCTGTTACTTTTGAAAGGACCTCTTAATATGCAATCTTATAAAATTTATTGAAGCTACAGATGTACAGTGTGTCAGAATCATCAGTATTCTGTTTGGAATATTTTTAAGTAATGGAGGAAATAAAAATAGTTACAATATAAAATTCTTCTTTTTATTCATTCATTTATTTATTTGATCCCACTAGCTTTAAATATCTTTCAGAAATATGCAATAAATGATAAATTCAATTAAAAACATAAATCCTACCTTTTAATTTAAATAAATTACAATTGGAAAAATAGAAAACCCATGGAATTATTTTTATATATAAATAATATATATATGAAATTAGATCCATCTGGAAGTATATTTCAAACCACTGTAGCATTTTCAGAAACTTGAGGTCATCATGGGATGATCTTAAAAGGAGAAGATATAGAAATTATTCTGTTATGTAACATGAAGCTAAGCATTAGAACACTTTGAATAGCATTTTCTAAAAAACAGAAGCATTCATATCCTTACAAAAATGGCATTCTGAATTAGAATCTTTCTTATAGCATTTTTGACTTCATAATTCCTTAAAGAATAGATCAGAGGATTTAAAACTGGTGTAACTATACTATATAAAAGAGAGACAATTGGATCTTTATCACTGGCAGAAGCAAGCATGTAGTTGGACAATACTGGAATGTAGAACATTGCCACAACCATCAGGTGAGATGCACAGGTGGAGAAGGCTTTCCAACGGTTCTGCCATGACTGGACTTTAAGGACAAGAAAAGAGATGATGTAAAAATAGGAGAGAAGAGTGAAAAAGAAAGAAGAGAAAGCAATTGAAACAGTAACAAAATTTAGCAGGGTATAACTAAGTCTTGTACTACTGCAAGCTAACACAAGAAGAGGTTTGATGTCACAAAAAATATGTGGAACAAGTTTGGGGCCGCAGAAAACAAGTTGAGAGGTCACAATTGTGTGCATCAAGGCATAAAAAAATCCAATGGTCCATGTGACTCCAGCTAAGATAACACAAGTCCATTTATTCATTATGAGAGTATAATGCAATGGTTTGCAGATAGCCACATACCGGTCGCATGCCATGATGCCCAGAAGCACAGCCTCGCTACAGCCCAGGAAGTGGAAGAAGTGCAGCTGAATGAGGCAGCCATTAAAAGAGATAGACTGATGCTTTCTAAGGAATCCCCTTAGCATTTTTGGTACAGTCACAGTAGAGTAGCATATATCCAAACAAGAAAGGTTTCCCAGAAAAAAATACATGGGGATGTGAAGCCGAGGTTCAGTCAGGATAACAATCAGAATGGCCCCATTTCCCAATAAACAGGCTATATAGAGCAGCAGGAAAAGTGGGAAGAGAACCTGTTGTAGTCTATGGTCCCTTGTTAGACCTAAGAGAATAAATTCAGATACTTCTGTCGAATTCCTCATCTCTGTCAATAGGGAAAAAAAGTGAGTGATTTGAGAGAATCTCATAGAGCTAAGTAAATGACATTGAAAAGCCTTTTTCGTACATCATTTAAGCATTCAATCATGAATCTTGTATTTAAATTCAATCCATTTAAATACTTCATGCATGCATTCAATATATTATCATTAGATTTTTCAAGACATTTAACGCCGTTTGGTGTTTTTACAACAATTTGTAGTTTGGAAAATGAAATTGGAGGTTGACAATGGAGCAAATTAGTGGAAAATATTAGGTAATTGGTCATTATTTGGAATTAGACATGTACATTCTCAAAATTTGAACTGGACATAATAGAAATATGAATCTATTCACATAATGCCAGATAAGGACAGGTAAGGATGGATGACGTGCTGGCTTTTTCCATACCTTTTTCTTGTGTGTTAAAGGGAAATATGTTAGAAGATTTCCCTCTATGCAAATGTATTCATCCTTGGAACTCTGGTGGTGAAATCAAAGAAAGCACAATGTGATAAAGACAAAGAGACAAAAAGAAAGCAATAGTGTGGCAGGAGAAAAAAATAAAATCTTATTCCCAATACAGAAATAAGTAACAAAAGATAACAAGTTTACCAACTTATGTGAAGACCATTGCAGAAAAAAAAGAGACCAGATATTGTAATTTGAATAAATCAGGATTATTATTTTATTAATATAGAAATATATTAATATAGAAATTTATCTACATCTGTAACAGAAATGACAGCTGGATTTATTAATTTTCTTAGTACAAATATGCTTCTGCAGAATATAGAGTTAATGTAAAATTGCATTTCACTTCTGAAGAAGAAAAAAACCATTCTGAATTTTGAGTTTCTGAATATGAGCATATTTTGAACTTCCTTCTCCAAGTACAGACTATCAGTGTTCATGTCACTTCATTTTATTTATCAAAACAGTGTGTTTTGTTTTTCAGGGTAACAAATGCTGCTATATGAAATATTTGTTTCAGAGGTCATTATTTTCCAATATACTGACCTAGAATTATGGCAACATTTATGACTGTGGACCAAATTTAGATTGTAATTATGCTCAAATACTTCCCTGTAAACTATTGTTTTTAGGTGATGCATTAGTAAGTATAGTTAATGGGATTTATTTGAGTCTTGAAAGTTCTATAAACCCAGTGATTGTAAAGAATATTGTCCAAACCCAGGAAACCAACTACATCAGGGTTGTATTCACTTATCTTCCCTACCGGTTCTCAAATATGAGTGGGCGCATGTGTGCATGCACTTTTGGCAAAAAAAAAGGGCTTAAATGGGATGCCATAGAGCTGGGGCAGGTGGGCGGAGCCACACACAATTTCTTGCCAATTGCAGGCAAACTGGTCCGAACCGGTAGAATACCACATCTGGCCTACAGTTTCACAATGCTAGAGAAGATGGTTTATTTAGAGTTTTCACTACTCAATTTGAAGTCTTATCCTTTAACATTCTACTTACCCTGCTGGAAGTTCACACATAACAATTTATAGTTCTAAAACTGTTTTATGGATGATCACATGAAACTGGCCAGCATCAGCCGAGGTGGCGCAGTGGTTAGGGTGCAGTACTGCAGGCCACTTTAGCTGACTGTGATCTGCAGTTCAGCGGTTCNATTTCCAATACACAAACCTTCCAGCCTCCGAATAGCAGTGTTATTGTTGCAAATTTCCTTTTTTCTTTTTGTATCTTTTTTGTATTTTAAGTTAGAAAAAAGACTCCAATTTTTAAATGGGTTAGAAGAACACCCATGAAAGAGGAAAATTTTAGACCATAGGTTACAGAGAAAATAAAAGAAAAAAATAGAAGAAAACTTACTCCATTCTTTTAAAAAGGCTTGCATAAATTCTATCCATGAAAATAGCATTTTAAAAAGTGGGAGGAGCCAATGTCACAATACGGACATGTGGTCTCGATGCTCCAAGACCACAGTTGATACTTTTGCCACTGGGTGGTCCAATCAGACCTAAACCGTCTCGAAGAGATGGTGAACAGGAAGAATACGTCTTTCTGATCTCAGGGACATCGCAAAGTCCCTGACTGATGCAAGAGAAGTTTTTCAAGCCAGCGACAAAAAAATCCAGCCAAGGCTGATGAAGTTGGGGCAGTTCCAAAACGGAAGGATACGGACAGAGAAAGTGTTTCCAGCTGGTGAGGAACTTTTACTGTTTTAAAAAGAGACTGCCTTTAAATTGGAGAACAGAAGAATCAAGTGGTGGAATTAAATTTGGAATGATTTTGGACAGTGGTTATCTTACTTTTTTAAAATTTCCATATTTTTTAATGATGCCGATCCAGGTTTTTTTGCTTTGTTTTTGTTTTTACTTCTGAAAAATGTTGACTTAAAGCTAATTAGGAATTTCTCTGGTTTGAGATGCATGGATATGCAAATTGAATAAATAAATAAAAAATAAGGAAAAAAGAAACAGAAATGAAAGAAAAAATTATAGAAGTAGCTTCTGATGATCTTTACAGCTTTTATAAGTACAACAATAAATTTACCTCTTAATCTATATTTACAACTTAATTATCTTCACTATAACAGGGCTTCAAATTCCTTGCCTGGAGGCCAGATGAGTCACATACTGGCCATACCCATCCCTGATTTAGCAGGGGTGGGAAGTCTGATACATCACATGACACTGCCATAATGATGTGACTTTGACCCTGATCTATAATCTACCCTGCTCAATCATAAAAATCATGAATTCATTTTTTTCTGATATATACAAAATCCAAAAGGGGATTCTAATCAGAAATAAAACTACAAGAGACATTCCATGGGTTGGGTGGATACTGAATGGGTTGTGAGAGGGGATAACATATCACCCATGCTTCTTCCCACACTTCTTGCACAACCCAATGCACAATTCTGAACTTATACCTGATTGTGCCTCCTTTCTCCTTTTCCCACAAGTCAGCAGTTACTTACAATCCTGCTTGTTTGTCCACTGAATTTCTTCCTGCAAGCTTCTCTCAAAAAATAAATGGGGAAATTGGCAGGGAAGGGAGGGAGGGAGGGAGGGAAGGAGGGATGGAGGGAGGGAAGGAGGGAGGGAGGAAGGATGATCCAGGACACTTCACCATATGACTCTCTGGATGTTAGTTCTTAGGAGGATGAACTAATCCCTGGCATATCAGAAGTTGATGGAGCCAAAGGCTCCAAAGCTGAGGCTGTGATCCAAGTGAGGTAGAGCAGCTGCAGGGAAAGCAACTAGAGGAGCAGCTGGCTGAGAGTGGGATGGTTGAAGCACAGTTATAACAGGACAGCCCTTAGCCTTTGGATGCGCTGAGAAAACAGCTGCAGCTGGTCTGCAGCAAGGAAGAGGAACTGCCTTCTCTATCTGATCTAGGAGCACAGATCAGGGCAAAGAAAAGGCAAGCATAGTGGAGGTCAGTCTGACTATTTGCGAGGCAGAAACCTTGTGCCCACCCTTAATGGTCTGCACCAGGAAATGGCTATTTAGCACAATGGAAGGAGGGGAACAATGCTAGGGAACATCGTGTCAGTTTTCTGGCTCTGTATGCTCCTACACTTATGACTCTTATCTTGGACTTCGGATAGTGTTTCATGGATTCTATATCTGTCTATGACTCATAGATTTATTTTGACTTTGTGGACTTGGCTTTGCTTTTAGGACACCCTTTGTCTGAACTTGCCTTGGATTTGGGGACTTCTCTTGGTTTCATAGACTTGCCTTGCCTTGAACTCATTGCAGGTTTTTTTTTGTTTATTAGTGAAGGGAATTTCTGGGAAATATTAATTCAGAATTAGAATCTTTAATAAAGACTCCTAAATCCCTTTTTTTAAATTTTTAAATTTTGTTACATAAACAACACATGCCCACACCAGTGGGAAAAGAAAAAATAAAAACACGAAAAAGACAAAAAAAACAGAAAACAAGGCAGGGAAAAATAAAAGAAAAAACAAAACAAAAAAAAATAAAAGAAAAAAAAGAACACAAGTATATATTATAAAAAAGTATATCAGCTGGTTACAACATGTTTTTGTGCATTTCTTCCATTAATTCATATTAATTCAAATAT